CAGGAATTTTTGCAATTTTCAGGAATTTTTGCGATTTTTGTAATTTTCAGGAGTTTTTGAAATTTCTGCAATTTTCAGGCATTTTTGCTATTTTTGCAATTTTCAGGAATTTTTGCAATTTTCAGGAATTTTTACGATTTTTGCAATTTTCAGGCATTTTTGCGATTTTCAGGAATTTTTGCGATTTTTGCAATTTTTTCTAATTTTCAGGAATTTTTGCAATTTTTGCTATTACTGCAATTTTCAGGAATTTTTGCAATTTTTGCAATTTCTGCAATTTTTGCAATTTTCAGGAATTTTTGCAATTTTTGCAATTTTCAGGCATTTTTGCGATTTTTGCAATTTCTGCAATTTTTAGGAATTTTTGCAATTTTCCGGAATTTTCGCAATTCTTGCATTTTTCAGGAATTCTCCTAATTTTCAGGAATTCTTGCGATTTTCGCAATTTTCAGAAATTTTCAAGATTTTTGCAATTTCCAGGCATTTTTGCGATTTTCACAATTTTCAGGAATTTTTTGCGATTTTTGCAATTTTCCGGAATTTTTGCAATTTTTGCATTTTTCAGGAATTTTTCCAATTATCAGGAATTTTTGAAATTTTCACAATTTTCAGGAATTTTTCCAATTTTCAGGAATTTTTGCAATTTCTGCAATTTTCACAATTTTCAGGAATATTTGCGATTTTTGCAATTTTCAGGAATTTCCGCAATCTTCAGGCATTTTTGCGATTTCTGAAACTTGCAAAAATGCCTGAAAATTGCAAAAACTGCAAAAATTCCTGAAAATTGCAAAAATTGCAAGAATTCCTGAAAATTGCAAAAATTGCAATAATTCCTGGAAATTGCAAAAATTGCAAAAATTCCGGAAAATTGCAAAAATTTCAAAAAATCCCTGAAAATTGCAAAATCGCAAAAATGCCTGGAAATTGCAAAAATCGCAGAAAATGCCTGGAAATTGCAGAAATTGCAAATAATTCATTTTACTTGGTTCTTTGGGATTTTCTCTCCTCGTTTCTATAAAATAAAAGTATTCGTATTATTTCAATATATTTGTAGAGGGACAAATCAGATGATTTGCCCCAAAATGTCACTGCGTTTAACAAATTTTTCTATCAGGGAGTCTAAAAGAAAAATCCAGTAGCTTGTCAGTGACAATTTGTTTGAAAAAATTTTTGAAGGAAAGAAATATAGATATATTGAAAAAATATCGAATTTGTACTTATCTTTGGACGTTTCGGGACCGATTCTGCTCCCGTTCTCAACATGTAAATGCAAATTATTTTTCTTTGAAAGTTGTGCTGCGTATAGTTTGACACTTTTCACGCAGCACAACTTTCAAAGAAAAATAATTTGCATTTACATGTTGAGAACGGGAGCAGAATCGGTCCCGAAACGTCCAAAGATAAGTACAAATTCGATATTTTTTCAATATATCTATATTTCTTTCCTTCAAAAATTTTTTCAAACAAATTGTCACTGACAAGCTACTGGATTTTTCTTTTAGACTCCCTGATAGAAAAATTTGTTAAACGCAGTGACATTTTGGGGCAAATCATCTGATTTGTCCCTCTACAAATATATTGAAATAATACGAATACTTTTATTTTATAGAAACGAGGAGAGAAAATCCCAAAGAACCAAGTAAAATGAATGTACCACCTCCTCGATTAACCTACAGACAGTATTTATTGCAAATAATCTTGAAAATTGCAAAAATTCCTGAAAATTGCAGAAATAGCAGAAATTGAATAATTTTTTATAAAACGTAGGGAGCTCACAGCGATAAACGGTTTGCGGTGGTGAGCTAGTTTGGGTGAGTTCTATCGAATTATGGAATGAAAATTTTTTGTGATATAAGCCCATTGGGTTCCTACCTACAAACCATACTTATTTTTATTATATGGGTTACCTAATAAACGTACCTATACGTCGTATTCAAAAATTCAATCAACCCATCTACAACTTCTTTTGGTTTCATCTCCAGTGCTAAAATTTTCTGAATAGCTTCAGTGCTACTTTTTATGAATGAATTCACTATTCATTCAACCATTCATAGTATCCATGTAGAAGTGCATATTTCGTGTGAGGGCGCTCGTATCAGTGAAGAAAAATGATCCAAAATTGCGTCTGCAGAGGTCCAGAAAAAATCACTTTTGATGGTGATATTTTGCATGGATCTTTGCGAATTTTTTTGACAACAAAGATAAATGTATAAGTGAGGCATCTCTCGAAGTACTTTTCCAAAAAAAATATACCTAGTGAGAAAAAAAATAGTGAATCTGTTCAATTTTCTGGAATTTTTTTCGACTATTTTTTTTCAAAATTTTGAAAAAGTACTCCGAGAGATGCCTAGATCCAACCTTTTAGTAACGGAACCGTGAAAAAAAATCTTAAATTTATTCAGCGAGCTTCGAGTATTTTGATTTCTGCCTTTCCTTGTTTCCCCAATGATCGCTCATAGGGTTAAACCCCTCTTAACCATAATATGGTGTATTTATATCTCCAGTATGGGTATGGAATACCAAATCTGCCGAAATCGGGAACAAATCAAGTATGCGTCCCAACCCAAATAACCAACCATATCAATGTTGAACTAAAAGTGTTGCCTAGCAACATACCTATGTTTGTGTCAGTAATAGAAAAGTCAATTCAAGAGCTAAGTTTGGAATTAAAGTGGACGACTTTTGTGTCGGTTGCGGAAAAAGATTATTTTCCTACGGAACATTTTATCACTTTTGGTCAATATTAAATTGTTTGTTGTTGTACGTTATTGATCTCAGACGTTGATTAATTCATACAGAGTGTGTCAGTTTTCTGTAGTAGGATTCTAACAGCTTGAAGAACACATATTTTCAAGATAACCAATGTTGGGAAACTCCATAATTGTGGCTATCAGGCGAACTTGATTACCTACAGTGCGATACACTTTTCATTAATTTGGATACTTTTTTCTCCTTCATACATATGTCCAAGACTATATGAATTTCGAGATAAATAATGCAAAAAAGCACCTTGTGATGAGACTCTGTGTTTCGGACACAATCTTTATAATATTTATCAATAATTAACTAGAAGATCGGGAATGATCAGAAGCTTTCACGAGAAGTGGCAAAACTTGGAAAACACTATAAAACTATGAAAATAGATCGGAACAGAGGCTCCTACGTCTATAGATAATGTGCACATGATATTTTTATCTCAAGCTGAGAAAGTCCTGCTACAAAAAACTGACTCACCCTGTATTTTGAATGAAGGAATCTTTCTTTGGATTCCTGTACGATATAAATAAATCGCCCTGTATAATCGACTTTCGGTATGACCAAGAAGACGTGAGTGAAGAATATGCCAGTTGAATAGTTGAAAACTTTGATACTAAAATTCTCATGTATTCCAATATACATAGGGTGTATCCAGAGTTATGGTGACAGAAGCCCAGGGAAAATTCCTCTCAACAAAATATGAAAAAAAGTTCAAATGAATACGGGTCCGAAAATCCTTCGGTCTCGAGATTGAAAAATAAAATGAGTTCTTCCGAATAAAATTCGATTTATTTACACAATTATCAGACATTTACTGGACTAATTGAAGTTCCAGAATTTCCAGAGGCGTACCCATCGTGCAAGTATGTTTCTTTTCATCAAAAAAATCATCCTGTGTTTTTTCCAAGTTCTTTTGAAATATTCAGATGAACCAATTTAAAACATAACATTTCTGTCTCCTACTATTTTTTCGTACCTTGCTTAGTTTTCGAGAAAAACGGACAATACCATACCTTGGCATATCTCTGAGCTCCATGAGGAAAATAAAATGCTGATAGATATCCTCCAAAAATGTATTGTCTGTCCATTATCATTTATGAAAACAAATAAGACATTAAATTCAATACCCTATCTGAAATGTATACGATCTTCAAATTTTGTAAGAAATATTTTTTCAAGTTATGAAAAACTTGGACACCTTGTCGGAAACGAAGCATTTTTGGACACATGTTGATATGAACTTTTCTTCATATATTGTTGAGAGGAATCTTCCCTAGGCTTTTGTCACTACAACTCAGGAATACCCTGTATGATAGGTAGGTATCTATATGAAATAAAAATATTTAGCAATACAGAAACAGATTTTTTCCACCACTAGCTATAAAACCTTCCATCATTTACTTCTTTTAAAGGCGTAAAGTCTGTTTTTACTACCAAGGTAGTTTTCGTCATTTTATGAACCACTTTTCAATAAAGCCACCTCTGTTATAAAGGACCCGAATTCATTGTTCCTATGCGACATTCGCAGGAATTGAGGCAGGAATGACACCCGAATCTATTAGGTATTTATCAATAACGACTTGTGATATGCTGTCATGATCATGGCTACTAGATTTTAATTAGAATTGAGAAGAAGTACTTTTATAGTGACAAAAGGTTTATATTTCAGTTTCACAAAAACTAAAATGATTTACATGTATTACTAGTGGTGAATAAACTGTAATATACACGTTGGTAGTGAAAAATATTATTACCACTGGACCTTATACCCCTCGGCTGAAGCCTCGGGATATAATCTTGGTCCCTGGGTAATAATGATATTCTTTACTACCTTGGTGTATAAATGACTATTATTCGATGTATTGCTCGTAATTCTGCCCGTTTTTGTTCCCTTCGAACCTTACCAAAAACATCAGATGTATATGTCACAGGAAAAAATCCAAAGGGCTAAGATCAGGGGATCTTGGTGGCCAGTCAATTGCACTTCTTCCAACAATCTAAATGCGAATAACTCAAATCAATGAGTCAAATCTCGATGGTGTTTTCGCAGTGGAAAGTGGTTTGAGGTCAGTTTTATTTAAAATTCTCAATTAGAGTTGCTAGAGGTTAGGTTAGGGGGTTGAACATGTCAAGTTGGCTAGAATATTCAAAATGATCCCCTTAAGAACAATAATTGACGAATTTCGCCATAAAAATCGTTCTGTTGATTCAGTTTCTGTTGAAGGTCTAAATAAAAGAAGGAGTAAAATAACAATAATTTTATAAACATTTTAAATGCACACCTACATAAACCAAGTGTGGTGAAAAATCAAGCGCTATAATTATGTTCAATTTATTTCGCATTATGAAAGTCTCGTCAATATTTATACAGTGATATTCGAAAAATATGAATTCGTGAGGTTCTTCTATTGTCCCATTCTTCTACCGAATCTCAAGAAGACGTGATCTACCTGTTGTCTCTTCTTGCTGACGTCTCTAAGTTCGACTCTTCCAGCAGCAGAGCCTGAAATGAACATTTAAAAATCAGTCATAGGCAGTTACTTTTGATTTGTTTTCTCTTGGAGCGCACGAAAGGAAATTCCTATTATGTTCGTGGAACATCGTGCGAACCTAGAGAGGATACGAAATTTTGTTTGAACTTTCTGAGGTTATAAGTTCTTGGGAATAGGCAAATAATTCCAAAGCTTCGCCGTTCTATAGACGAACGAGTTTTGGTAGAGTGTTGTTGTTCAACATTTTTTCAAGGTTCACATTTTCACGCCCCTCGTATATGGAATGGAGAAATAATGTTCTTGTTTGAAATTTTCAATATCTTATTTCGAAAGCGTGATATATCAAATGTGAATCATGATTAATCGATCGATTAGTCTTCCCCATTATTGTAAAAACTTCACAAACGATAAGATTTCCACAAATTTCACAACTCAATATAATAAAACAGATTGCAGTCAACAACGGATACTACGTTGATTTGATAGACAGTATTCTTTCTAAAAAACTTCATAATAAAGCTATTCAAGAAGTTTATCCTACCATCAAGAATAATAATCAAAATTATAGAACTTTAATCTATTTTGGATCATCAACTGAAAAATTAGCTCCATTTCTACATAAACAGGACTCAAAAGTAGCATATAGAACAAATAACACGTTGGGAAGGTTTATCAACAATAATAAAGACGAAACTTCTGAATTCGAAAAATCACGGGTATACAAACTCAACTGTGGATCTTGCCCTAAGGTATATATCGGTCAGACAGGTCGTACATTTAATCAGTGCATTCATGAACATAATATCAATTTTTTGAAACAGAAAACAAATTCAACATACGCCAACCATAAATTAGAAGAAAACCATAGTTTTGATGATAATTTCGAAATCCTACACGTAGAAAATGAAGGAATGAAACTCGATCATTTTGAATCATTAGAAATCAACAAACTCAAAAATTCTGATATTTTACTTAACGATCAATTAGACCTCAATAGTTCACCACTGTTGAATTTGTTTTCTTAGTAAGTAATAATATGTACCTATTTGATATCAACCCTTTCAGGAGGATATATAAGCAAGCCAAGGTTAGTTTAGTTCATCATGATTACGCGATTACAGGATTCAATCTCGTAAAAGGACATTATACTGGAGCAGTCTTCCTTGACGTTTCGAAAGCATTCGACAGGGTCTGGCACGACGGACTACTGACCAAAATGGCAGACTACGGGTACCTACCCGATATCTATGGTAAAGCTAATAGCCTCCTTTCTGCGGGGAAGGCGATGCCAATGTGAAGTTGGCAACGAAATCTCTACAGAGAGGGAGCTAGAAGCAGGAGTACCGCAAGGTGCGGTCCTTTCACCACTACTTTTCTCCATTTTTACCGCTGATATCCCTAAACCCGCGAACAACTTCAACAAACTCGCACTATACGCCGACGACACAGCCATAATTGCTAGATCCAGGAACGCAGACATGACAGTATGATACCTACAAGAACAGATCGACACACTAGAAACCTGGTTCAATAACTGGAAAATAAAAATAAACGCAGAGAAAAGCCAAGCTTTTCTCTTCACAAGACGACGTACCAAACCCACAGGACACGTAATACTAAACGACATACAGATACCATGGGCAGATGAGGCAAAATATCTAGGGTTAACCCTAGATAACAAACTCACTTTCAGACAACACATCACAACACGACTAAACTTGGGTAAAGCCGCAAGGTAAAACCTATAGCCACTAATAGGTCGCAGAAGCAACATGGCTCTAGAGTTGAAGCTGCACCTAATAAGAACCATTCTACTTCCAATAATTTTGTATGCATCAAGTGCATGGGGCCAATGCGCAGAAACATAAAAAAGCGAATGCAGGCATTTCTAAATGTCTCAATAAGAATGGCAGTAAACGCTCCATGGTATATCCCAAATAGATTTATCTATAGGGACCTGAACATAAACCCAGACTACATAGACAACTACATAAGACAACACGCGGACACAGATTAACAAAGTTTGTTAATCTGTGACGCGGAGACTACATTCGGAAGAACGGAAATAACCCACAAAAACCCGCTACTGCACGACCTGACTTATAAACAACTAAATCAAGACCCGCGCTTCGGAAGAATAAAGTACAGGCGCCCAATTCACCAAATATAAGATAAACGAACGAAATTAAATCAATATCAATAAAAGTTGCATAATAATCATCAGATAATTAAACAGAAGAGTCTCTCCTTTGATACCCTATAAAAAAGTAAACCAATAATAATAACACTAATAATAGATAAACTCAAATTTGCTTCCCATTAGGGTAGGGAAGTTCCCTACGCAGAGTCAGGCTAGGAAACACACATTAGACAAAAAGGTTTAAAAGTCGGGAGACTGAAACCAAAGGGGTTTTATGAAACATATGGGTGGCCAGGTAGCCGTGCGGACAGGGTGTCTATATTCTAATTCGCATTCGCTTGCCGGTCGTGGGTTCGATCCTCGTCGACTGCAGAAATTTTTCTGATGGCCCAAGAAAGTGTTTGGGATCACACGTTAAAAGGTAAGGCCCCCGTCATTCCTTGCTCGCACAAGACTTTCGAAGACTTTTGAGGGTTGCTCGTAAGGGGGCAACCGAATGACGGATAGAACAAATTTTAGAACAATTTTTTTTTAAATATGCAGATTGCCAAATGCATAAGGTTGAAGTCCACTCGTTAGTGAGTGGGGGTGGATGGGCATGGGGATGAGGAGCTATCATATAACGTAAGCTAGTTATATGGCGGCACTTGATCCTGGGCATTCAACCTTTCGGGGGGCGTGGTGTTTAGTTCATCGTACCAGTATATCACCTGACGAAGCTACTGCGTTAGCGGAACATGTCGTGTGTTTGAGAATTTTGTGGAAATCTTATCATTTGTGAAGTTTTTACATTTGCCATGGATTTTCATCACGTAACGGCCGAGTCAATTCAAAAAATTCCCCATTATTGTCATTCCGAAAGTGTCAATTGTTGCCAATTCCATTTGGAAATTTTCGGTGGTTCATCAATTTAGTTGGGAAAATCATACTCACACGGCTGCTCCTGTTGCGGCATGTCTTCAACCATCTGCTCCAGGGCATAGCACAGCTGTCTCAGAGCCGGACGCAGTTGTTCTTGTTCGAGAGTAGGCGGGCAGCTGATGGTGGCCGCCCGGGCGAGGGACGAAACTAGGATCGCAAGCAGGGCGCCGCATAACCACGATAAGATGGTGGAAGAGTTCATGTTGCCAACTAGAACGAAACGGAATCGGTCGAGACAATGCGAAATTGGACTCAGAAGTCAAGAATTTCCAAATGTTATCATACCAGGTGTAACAGGATCATGGTACACCAAACCATTTTGATGAACTTAATTTGGTGCTAGATCAAGAAACTTTTTGACCGAATTCATTTTTTTTAGCATTACACCAGTCGATATGAGTACATTAGACTCGATCAGAATAGTCAAACCGGAAGTGGAAAATGCAACATGTTCATGTCAAAACATCATGTTGATGGGTTCCAAATTCCAATCACTTACCTCTAAAACTAAAGGAGAAAAAGGGGGTGTACCATGATCGTGTTACACCCGGTATATTGAGTGACCCGGAATCAATTTGTCGAATGGATATGTTACAAATTTGGCACATCGATTTTATTGCACCGATTTTACTAGCCGATTTTACACTCAGACGAAATATGACACTCCCGGTTTGACCGGAAGTTCATCCAATACTTTTATTTCAAATACAAATTATAATGATTTTCTGGATATTACGATTCAGTATAAAATTACCTTTCTAACGATATCAATCATTTTTTCAATTCACAATCTAGTCATATAAAGGATTTTACAAAAGAATACTTTTTGTACACCCCTCGTAACGGAATATTTTCATGAACGTGTGCTATGGATAAGGAAATAATACCATGTGAGTAAAAATAATTCGCACTCTCACTATTTTTTCAATTTTAGTTTTTCTTTATTTTTCAACACCAATGAAATAATTTTTCAAATGCTATCATTGATTTTTTTTAAATTGTTTAGAAACACCTATACATATTGAAATACAAGACAGGAAATAATTTCAATTTTCAATTTCCTATTTAGTGTTAATGAAGATAATCTCCATGCTATACCTACTTCAACCTGTATTCAACCAGTAAACTTCATATCAGTTCAGGGTCGGATCCAGGCGATGTTTGAGGAGGGGGGTATAGGGAGGAAGTCTCTGCTCATTGAGTTCAGCGAAAAAGAAAGGAATTCTCATTTTGGTGCTCTTTTAGGAAGATTGATTTTTGTTTATACATAAAATAATATTCAGTTTTCTTTCAAGTATCAAAATTCCTGTATCAAAAAATTAATGAGTTAAAAATATTCGATATATTCCATAAATATATATGTCCAAAAATATTTCCCAATCTCCATAACAAAATATCGTGTGAATGTGAGACTTGGCAACATTGTGCTGAATGCAGTGAACAGTGAGGACTGAAATAATATATGCACTTCTTAGATGGAAAACATTTTTATTTTTGATTCCTCATCGAATTTCCGAAACACCCTGTATCCCAGGCGCAAAATATTCTCAGAATGTATAAGGTTGTAGAGGATGGACATATTTTTGATAATCACCACTGTGTCACCCCTGTAAAATCGATTTTTTTTCTATAGGTATTCGAAATGACCATCCAACAATTGGGTGATTTTATTTTTGGAATATTATCGTATATACAGGGTGTCCCGAAAGGACATATAAAGATTTCAACTACTGGTTCTAGGAATCAAAAATAGTAAAACAAGTTCATGGGTCCGGAAATGGCCCCCTGGAGGGTTATAACCATTCAAAGGAGAGTTGGAGATGATGGTTTTATGTGGATATTTTCTGAACCCTCCGTGATAAGATAACCAAATGTACATGTACAGGGTGATTCACCATAAATATCCCCCCCCTCTAGCTCACTTATTTTTGAGCCGATTTAAAAATTTTAAAAATCATCTGAAATGATTTTTCAGAAATTTTTTCCCGTTGCATCAGAAAATACAGGGTGCTTGGAACAAACGATCTCCAGAGTACTACTTTATTTTTTCAAATGAAACACCCTGTATTTCATTGTATTTTTATATTCTTGTTGAAGAGCTGATTTCATCAATGTATCCACTTGGGGTCTAGCGGGAATGATTACAGAGATATAGGGTGTTCAAAATCGAGATTTTTCAACTTTAAGTACTGACATTCAATTGGAAAATATACAGTGTGGTTCAAGATTAAGAATTCTGATCACCCTGTATCTGTTCTCGATGGTAACGATCTGTTCCAATTATTAAATGTCAGTAGATAGTAAATCAAAAGTTAAGATATGGACATGACAGCCGTTTTGACCGATAATGAATAGTTTCGTCACAAAAAAATCCTAGTTGAAAAATCTCGATTTTAAACACCCTATATCTCTGTAAATAGATGAAATCAGCTCTCCAGGGAGAATCTGAAAATACAATAAAAAATAGGGTGTTCCATTTAAAAAAAATCGAATAGTACCCAGGAGATCGTTTGTTCCGAGCACCTTGTATTTTCTGATGTAGCGGAAAAAAACTCTATCGAAAATCATTTTAGATGATATTTAAAATTTTGCAATCGGTTCAAAAATAACTGAGCTAGAGGGGGGGGGGACATTTATGGTGAATCACCCTGTACCTAACTCTTTATGTCCGATTCAAAAATGCTAAGGATTTTCCGAAATTTTTATTAGAGTCGAGGAAAAAGGTGGGGCTAGGAGCACTTTTCCTCCCAAATATTTTGTTGATGCAATTTTTGTCAGTTTCACCAGAAAATATGGAAAACTCAACATTCCTACTCAAAAATGGTACACTAATTTTGATATAAATCGATTTTAAAATCCTACTGCGTAATAAAAAGAGTACTTTTTCCTTAATACACAGGGTGGTCCGGTTTGTAATACAAAAATTAAACAGTGTGTTGTACTCTTTGGAAAAATAAAAAAGTTTTTATAAACATTGTTTTAAACGCGTCGTTTTCGAGATATAGGGTGTTGGAAATACGTGTCAGAATATTGTTTTTTGATGAAAAGTTCGAAACGGTTTGAGATAAATCAACAAAATTCCGCACAGATACTAAACTTGTTACGTTCTATAAGAAGAAATGGAAATTATTTTATGAAGTAATTCAGTGGCGGCTGAATCTGGGGGTGGTGAAGAAAACAATCACCCCAATTTTTATGTGTATTTCTTTTTCAATTTTGTAGTTCAAAATCTGTTTTTTCAGATTTTGAGGTCTATGCTTGAAAAAGCTATGCTAACTGTGTCATCTTATAGAGCGTAAAAAGTTTTGCATCTGTCAGAAATTTTGTTGATTCATCTCAAACCGTTTCGAACTTTTCATCAGAAAATTATATTCAGACTCGTATTTTCAACACCATTTCGAAAACGACGCGTTTAAAAGTATATGTTTATATGAACTTTTTTTATCACATCGAGTATTACAACATACTGTTGAATTTTTTGTATTACAAACCGGGCCACCCTGCATATAGGATACCAACTTTTTCCATTAATTTCGGTTTGAAGGGAAACATCTCTTCTTTTAACATCTACTTTCAATGTTTGATTCAAAATATGGAGTGTGCAATAAAAAGGATAAATTGGATAATAGTATGATAGGTATAGTTTTCAACATTTTCAAATTGGGCACAATATATAAGGTACATAAACAAGATTTGGTTATTCTATCACAAAGGGTTTGAAAATATCACATAAAACCATCATGGCCCCTCCTTCAGATGGCTATAACCCCCCAGGGAATCATTTCTGGACCCATGTTTATGTAAACATTTTTCACTATATTTGTTCCAAGGATCTGTGGTTGAAATCTCTCTATCTAATTTTGGGACACCCTGTATATCTTATTTCCACTTCAATTTTTCGCCTGAACATCACCCGTTTTTTAAATTGTGGCGTGCTTTTGGGATGTGAGTGCATTATTCTAATAACTGCAGGCTTTCCTAGAATAAAAGTATACTTTTCACACAGGAAATATAATTTTATTTGAGAACTTGAAAGCTTTTCCGAAGGGAATTTCGTTCATGTGTGCTAAAAGGGGAATGGAAGGAAACGTCATAGGGGATAATGAATTTTATGAAACCAAACCCAATTCAGTTGCGTATAGCTGCCGTGTGTCAATTCGTTCGCCTTTTACTCGTTACATCAACGGAAAGGTGGTAACAAGAAAATACAAGACGTGGCTAATGTGTTTTCTCAAAAAATATTTTCTGAATGCTCGCGCGAAGGTTCGGCCAGATATTTTCATACTTACAGCTTCATTGAGAAAGTCTATATATAGTATAGCAATGACAATAATGGATCGTTTCGTCCTTTAATTTTGTTCAATTTACAAGGTGTCTCACACTCATATCCATAAAAAAAGTTGAAAAATTGTGTCATATTTGAAATGGATTACTTCTAGATTATGGAATACATTTTTTCCAGTCGAACTTCAATGCCTTCTATTCAAGTTTTTCAAAGGTCTATTGAACAAAAAAGGCTATTTATTTTGCGAGTCTCTCTATCACCTGTCAAAATTAATGAATTAACATCTGGACCACCGTGTACACCGAGAAAAAATCAGTTATACAAAACCACGAAATGTCATCTGATGAACGTGAAAAATCAACGTTTTCAACGTAAAACAGGTCACCTTTTCAAATCACTCCTTTTATTTTAAAAAGGTTACCTTATGGATTTGAAATGGAACAAGATTATAGTTAGAAGATGGAATTTAAAAGATATTCATTTGAATCCTGAAAGATGTTATTCCACAGTTATACAAGTATCATTTGAAATCCATCCCTTCTTCATTTACCATCTTTGTCATACTCTTTTACCACAATGAGTCATCTCACTCACTTATGAATACTTGTTCCATCAGAATCTTCAGTCGTCAACAGATACCTGATATGTAAGGACATATCAGCCCTCAGCAGCTCGTAAACCCTTCTCACAGAGTGATATTTTTTTCCAGAAAGGATAGTGGTTGAAATTTTTTTCTCGAAATTTTAGGGACATATTTGTTCATATACCCCCAACTACCTCACTATTCACTATAGTGGCAATAGCTTGGATTTACTTAGTTATATCGGTGATAGATTGTATTGCGTATACAGTATGTCCAAGATAAGAATGTCTTCGTATCCTTATCTTGGACACGGTGTGTATGTATTCATTTGATTCGTGTAAT